CTAATGGCTTAGTATTTTGTTACTTTAAAATGCAGAGATAACAGAAACAATCTGAATATTCCTCATACAGCTGGTAAGGACTTCAGTTCCAGTGGCCATATGACATAATTCTGCCTTTACCCAGGGACATTTTTAAAAATATAACATCAGATTTTAAGCAACGTAAAGTTGCTAATCTAACTAGTAAATTTGCTCTTGTGTCATTTACCGATTATTTCTGTTGAAACTGCAAACCCGAGTTATTGAAATGTAGAAAGGCACAGGGACTTACTCTGTCACACACAGCTACTCATGCACACACACACTGCTTACTAAAAGCTGAAGTGAGATGAAGGGGGCCTACACGAACACTAAGTTCAACTTCTTTGTGCCTGGAAAGAAAGGACTGGAACAGCCAGGAGACTCACTTTCCCTCATCGCTTGGGCCCTTCTCTATGCCTTAGTATCTCCAGCACATGCCCACAGCACGCACACACACATGCCTTACCCAAAGACAGCTGTGGCCCTCCCCCCACCTGCCCCGCTGGTTGTTGGGGGTGAGGCGTCCCATGAAATTTGTTCCGGTTACTAGGATGTAAACAAGAAGACTCCAAGCCATGAAGTGCCCTGCTTTCTAGAGGGTGAAATGTTGACCTCGCAAGTTTAGAAGCACAATCATTTATTAGTAACTTTTTTGAAATTCCCATCTACCCATGTCAGAGAAGTTCAACAAGTTCTAGGAATTAAATATGTCTGTTTGTAACCTAGAGCATGCTCAATTTTTGGAAACCATATTTCAGTGATGATTTTCTTAATACCTTTCACGTATAGGGCGTCTTCCCCCAAAATCTTACAGTCCCTTTCTGTGAAGCGAAATGGACACATCCTGGGAACTATTCCCGTCCCTCTGGACTGTCGTCAGGAAATGCCTGCAGGTCCTGTGCCCTGTCTATATCATGTCCTCACTTCTCCATCCGTACAGGTGGCTCCAGTGGGCACTTTTTTTTATTTTAAACTTTTTACATGAAGCAACAGAAGTACAAAATACTGATTTTTTTTCAAAATTTAATGTGTTCCATGAAATCTGTTGGCAATCCCTTTCCTTCTCCCTGTCTAAATTCTTTGGTTTTTACTTGTTTGTTCTTTGGATTTTTTTTTTTTTTTTTTTTTTTTTTGGTCCTGTATCCCAAGGACTAAAAAATTAGCACAGACATGTTTTGATGGTGAGTGAACTAGGTGGTAGGGTTCATTGGTTTCTCTGTTAGTAACTTTTTAAAGAATGAAGATAGTCATGAATGTACTGAGTGTTCAAACCCTGCTTTAGTTCACCTTGGCTGTGTCTACATGATGACAAATGTTTGACAGGGAATAAAGTCGTGTCTGGTGTCATTTGCACTAGTGCGCCCCTCCCCCTACAGTGTTGGTCCCAAACCTTCCTTTCCTTTATGTTTGTTGTTGGGGAGGGAGGACCACATCAGCAGCAATCATCAACCCACCAGTGGGATCTACTTAGTGGTGAGTGGACTGGCTGTTTAATTGGTAAGAGTTGCTGGCCTGACCACACTATAGCATGACCACGTGGATTACTGTAGAGATGGCCTCAGGTTCCAACATTCTCCCCAAATGTTTGCTTCTTGCCCAGTCAAGAGGGGATCTTGAGACTCCTAAGTGGAGGTCGTGAGCTTGCACCCTGCCTGACTGTGTAGACAGACTGTATGGATATATGAGGTGGGGGTGGGGGCCAAGGGGCTATTACTGCTGTTTGGAGATATTTGCCTCTTGTAGATCCAGCCTTAATGGTTTTGTGACATCCTAGTACTAGCAAACTCTGTACAAAGTGGGTATCAGAGTTAATACTGTGAGGAGACAAAGTAGTGAGAACAGTTTTGCTAAAGATAATGAAATATCACATAATGTCTGCATTTTACCATTGACTTGCGGGCATTCTTAGAAAAACGTAATGTAATGAAAAATCCAGGACATTTTTGGAAATCGTATGCTCTCTAGCAACTTTGTGTGAATTTTTATACAAACACTGTTTTTTGAGTTACATAAAATGTTATAAAAATAGAAAAAAAAAGGAAATTACCCTATACTCCCCCAGTAGAAGCACAGACCACACACTCACAGCTTTAGAATGGACACACAGCCACCACATTTCCTGAATAAATTCACACTCTTCAGACTACACATACTCAAACATGCAGATGCCTGAATAACACACTCACAATATACTCATAGATCCAAATACACACACAGCTGTATACTCCCAAATACAAACATATACAAGCCTCAATCTTGAAAACTATAAATATTCTGTCCATATCCTCAGATTATATACATATAGCTTGTAACACTCAAATACACCCAGTCATCTCTCTGCCTCCAAATTCTTCACACCAAAAATGTACACCTAAATTCTCATCTAGACACCATGAGCATAGATAAAACTCCTCTACTCTGAATACACACAAATCAAACACACAAAGCATTAAAACATAGAATGTTACCTGCCTTTTCAAATGTATGCACACATATTCACAATATCTCACAGTACCGTCAAAATGCACAGAACCACCCCCAGCACGCAAATACACACACACACACACACCCCATTCAAATATGAACATATAACTATCCAGTACCCTCAGAATAAACCCAAAACCCATTATGCTTCTGTAATATACTAAAAACTCACCCATATTCCCCTAAAAACACATTTTCAACACCACTGAATACTTAACCTACCTACATAAATATGTATCTTAAATATATAATACATATACATGACACAGAATACAAATACCCAAAACAGACACAAATCCCCAAAATGTGTTAGTATAAAAACATCCCACACCTGCCAATGCCTCCCTTGTCATACAGCAGCCTTCACACACATAAACACACTCCCTCATCAACTCCCCATACTCCTTAGTGAAATGTAAACACAGCAATGGAACATGTTCTGAATGTATACACAACGGGGCAGATGTATCACTATGAAGAGTATTCATAGTCCTTCTCTGTGGTGTCTCTGTCTGAGATATTACACCTCCCTAGTCTGTTTAACTCAGGTATGGCCACGTGACTTGTTATGGCAAGTGAAATGTGAGCACAAATGCCATGTATGACTCTGAGCAGAAGTCCTTCTAGTCCTGTCCCAAATGAGGCTGCTCCCCCCATCTGGATCCAAGGCACAGGACCAGTAACTGATCAAAGCCAACCAACGGAGGACACGTAACATACGTGAGAAACCTATGTTGTTGGAAGTCACTGAGATGCAGAATTATTTGTTATATCAGATAATCTGGGATATTCTGATGGATGCATACCCCACCCACCAAAACAGAGAAATACCACACTGCACACACACACATGTGTGCACTTGCACACACAATCCTCTCAAAACTCCCCAAATATGCATCCTTAATTATCTACAGTTAGAAATACACATCTACAATCTTCCATGATCCAAATAAATGCACAGACACACCAACTCTCAATCTCCAAATGCATATATTACACACTCCAGCTTTCTCAGGCCAGCTGCATAAAACCTGCACAAGCCATGAATTCACACGTGCCTCATCCCACCAGAATTCAACACATACTTCACATAACTTTACCCTCCTTCAAATACATATACACGCTCCCTACATATACTCTGAATATCCACATAAACTACCCACAGTCTAGAACACATATAATCCAAAAGAATCCTCACATTATACACAAAACTCCAACTCTACCACAAACATATGCGGTGGCTTTCCTCCCTAATACATACACAGCCCCTCACACTTCCTAAATTCATACATATACAAACTCCAACTTTGTATGCACAAAGACACACTACCCTAAATGTACAGACCTCCACCTCCTACAATCCTGAACACATAGACACATGCATTTGTCTTCCACCCTCAGACTACAAATGAAGAAAGGGATTCAAGCTGAACAGAGGCAGACTGCGGTGGACGCGGGCATCAGCCACCTAGATCCCTCCTTGACGAACGACTTGTTTCACCATTTGCTGGGAATACTGTTGGAAGACAGACTTGGCTGTCAGGCCCTCCCAGGGTTGCTTCAGCTATGGAGAGCACCTGTGCTGAGTTCTCGCCTCTTTCTGTGGAAGCTTCATACCCAGTGGCTAATCGGGGCAGGTGTAAGGCGGCTGACTAAGGACAGTTCTATTGAGACACTTTAGTACCACAGCAGCATATGGGGTCAGATGAGACGATTTAGGGGCCCGAGTCATGGTTTAACTTCTCCTTCAATGCAACTACACTCCCTTTCTTCACTTCTTTTGAAAAACAAAACATAAACTCTCAGGGAATGAACTAAGGGCACCCAACATGAGACCACATTCTTTTGATTCCTTCATTCAATGATTATTTATTTTTTATTTTATTTTTGAGATGGAGTCTCACTCTGTCCCCAGGCTGGAGTGCAGTGGCACGATCTTGGTTCACTGCAACCTCTGCTTCCCAGATTCAAGCAATTCTCCTGCCTCAGCCCCCCGAGTAGCGGGACTACAGGTACGCGCCACCATGCCCAGCTAATTTTTTTGTATTTTTAGTAGAGATGGGCCACCATGTTGGCCAGGATGGTCTCAATCTCCTGACCTCATGATCTGCCCGCCTTGGCCTCCCAAAGTGCTGGGATTACAGGCGTGAGCCACGGGGCCCGGCCCATTCAATGATTATTTATTAAGCACCAACAAATACAGTGATGACTACTCTTTTATGGAGACTACACCCCATGGAAGTAAACAGATAATAAGTAAATATACTATGAATACACACAGTTTCCTGGAGATGTTCAGTCAGCAATTAGATTAAGTGACTGACGCTCTGTGGAGACAAGTGAGGGGCTAAAAATACAGATTTGAGGAAAAATGCAAAGGAGAGAGTACATTCCCTCATATAAAATGGTTTCTGCTGCTGAGGTTTCCTGCTTATGGGGCATCTGCAATTTTGGCATAAGGTACACATTCATTTTCAGGTTTATCAGTTATTCACCGTGGTAATATTGTAGATTGGCAGGTTACTGCAGAATCCAACGGACTGAAGCCATAAGCATTCACATCAGGCCTCTGAGGGTCAGGATCTGGCTTGGCTGTGCTGAGTGGTCCTTCTGCTCCAGTCTGTTCCCCTGTTCTTTATTACCTCCTTGGTACAGACACTGTAACAGGTGCCCCAGAGGATTTTAAGGTGAACAGGTCAACTCCCTGTGTCTGAGGTTTAAATCCTGTAGGAGCAGAGGTTTCCAGCATTAATTTTGCTGTGAGACAGAGGTTGAAGTTGGAGATTTAGGGGCAAGAGAAAGGAGCCCATGCTCCCCTGGGGCCATCAGAAGAGGGGACTCTGAGTGTGGATGGGAGGGGGCCTATACTAGGGAAATGGGCAGTTATGTTCCGTATGGATTAGTAATCACATTAGCTAACAGTTATGCCATATGTACCTAGATGGGAGAGGGCCTACACTAAGGAAATGGGAGTATAGACCATGGGAACATGGGAAATGCTCCGTATAGACTAGTAAGCACATTAGCTAACAGTTATGCCATATGCACCTACAATACAGCATTCACTGATCCAAGCACTTTACATGTATGAATGCCAATCTTTATAACCCTGTGGAGTTAGTACTATTATCCTCGTTTTACAGATAAGTAAACTGAGGCTCAGAGAGGTTAAAATACTTGCCCAAGGTCACAAAAGTCAGGTATACACTGGGGCTTCTGGGATTTGAGCCAGCAGTCTGGCTCCAGAGCCTGTACCCTTGACCTGACCATGGCTGCCCCTTGAGAAACTTTCCTGCCACTGGGGGAGAGCTGAGTGCAGAGAAGACATTTCATACAGGAAGTGACATTTCAGTTACATCTTCTGGCAGTGAAGGTCCTCAGGGGGGAGGATCACCCAACCACAGCCCCTTCCAGTGCCCGCTGTCAGCACAGCAGCTGTCTCCTCGCTGGGAGAACACCCCATCTCCCACTGCCTGCTTCCCATGCTGGGCCTGGGCTTGTCTCTCCTGGGATACCTCCAGCTACATTTGCCTCCACCTTTCATTAGGAACCCGAGGTGACTCCCAAGAGAAGGCCCTGGGCTCCTTAAAAACCCCAATTCTAACCTGCAGACACCATGGACATACTTATTACTCAAAGGATGGTTGAATAAAGTCTTGATCTGCAAGAAGGACCTAGACCACTGAGCCCCAAGCTGACATTCCCCCAGTGTTCCCTACTTACAGCCCCAGGAAATGAGTCTGGGCAAGGAACGAGAGGCGAGGGACTCTTGTGTTGTGGGTAGAGGGTCTTAATATGCCCTGACATGCCCCCTCCACCTCTTTGTGCAGTCAAAGACTGCCTCCCACTCCATTCCCGACCCCCAGCTCTCCCTGCTTTGTTCCTAGTGTCTGCCGTGCCGGCCCATTCTGCCTTCCCTGGTCTTGCCTTCTGAGTATCCTTCCTTTGACCCCAGGCTCCTGCAATGGACATCAGAACAGCCTCCTTTGAAGGGGAAGTTCCTTAGTGGCCTCACCGTTTCCTTCTGAGTGTCCTCAGACCCACTACTGTGTCACTGTAGGGCACCAGGGCCCAGTGAGGACTGAGACGGGAACAGATCCTTTTTCCTATCAGCTCCTGGGAAACAGAACAGTCAGGGGCTTCTAAGGGGCTGGACAGAGGGGCCACTCAGCACACAGTTGAGGATATCTTCTGTTCATAGAGAGAAGGGGGTGGTGCAGGATACGTTTCATGACATACATTCCTCAAAAATATTGAGCCCAGAACAAATGGCTCAGGCCGACCTCAGCGATTCTAGCAATTTCCATTCATGCAACCTGCATGGGAGATTTTCTGTGCTGATTCAAGACCAAGAGACACATGTACTTCCCCCTCAGAACTCAGGATCCGTGACTTCCCCTTTCAAAACAAAGAAATCCAAGAAGATCAACCTGGTATACATTACAGTGCATTTTTATTTAAGACATATATTATAAAAGCAGACAGAGCTCCATTCTGCCAACAAAACACAATACAACTAGTACAGCATACCCTCATTATGTTAGGGCAGGACATGAGGGGGCAGCGAGAGCCACCAGGAATCCATTTGTACCACAGGGAAGTGGCTATTAAAACATTAAAGGAAGTGATGTTGGCACATTTTATTGGCGGGAGGATTCACCACGAGGAAGAAAAGGCCAGAAGGTGACGCCCGGTAAGGAGCAAGGCCCACAAATCCTCGGGTGAGTCTGAGGGAGGAGGTGGTGGCTGTGGGGTCAGCAGGTGGGCACATCCATCACGTGGCTCCCTCTGCTGGGCTTGTGGCCCCATGTGCAATAGAGAAAATATGGAAGGTTGGGTCACCCAATCAGAAACATGAAGCTGGCCAGGCACAGTGGCTCACGCCTATAATCCCACCACTTTGGGAAGCCAAGGAGGGCAGATCACCTGAGGTCAGGAGTTCGAGACCAGCCTGGCCAACATGGTGAAACCCCATCTTTACTAAAAATACAAAATTAGCTGGGTGCGGTGGTGCACGCCTGTAATCCCAGCTACTCCTGAGGCTGAGGCAGAAGAATCGCTTAGAACCTGGGAGGCGGAGGTCACAGTGAGCCGAGATCATGCCACTGCACTCCAGCCTGGACAACAGAGGGAGACTCTGTCTCAAAAAAAAAAAAAAGAAAGAAAGAAAAGAAAAAAGAAAAAAAAAAAGAAACATGAAGCTGAGATGCACTTGCCACTCCAGGGGCATCCTGAGCCTTTGGAAAGAAAGGAGAACCCGTCGACAGGGTTCTCAGAAACATCAGAGCCACATTTTCTCAGGGGGGCTTCCCTGTCTCTCCAGACCCCAGCTCCCAGCACCCCTCAGGACAGAGGCTGCCCAGTTCTGCCCGTGTCATTTCACTGACCCCAGCCCCTGCCAGGCTTCTCCCACACCTGCAGGGCCAGCACCCAGTGTGCTGAGAGAGTGTGGATCCACAACCAGATGAACACATCAGGGGGAACCGAATCCATTCTCTCTTGGGGTCCTGAGCCTCCCAGTGACAGAAGATCCAGGAGACGTGAGTGGGAGGCCGCCCTAACAGGATCTCACATCATACTCCAGATTGCTTAAGGGACACAGATCGGTGCCTCCTCTCCTTGACTGTACCCTCCTCACTCCTTAGCACCAGGCCCGGCTGTTCATCCCTGCTGAGGTGCAACTAAGACCTTCACCTGCAGCTCAGAGGTGCCCCAGACAGGAGCACAAGAGGAGGCTCGCTCCCACCCACAACCCAGGCCGGAGCGAATCTGGCTGCCCAGGCTCTGTGTCTGGCTTCTGCCCCAGGACCTAAGCCCATGTAAACTCAGGCTTCCTTGGCCTGCCCTCCCCAGGCCCAGGTTCTAAAGGTGTGCTCCCCACCACTTCCTTGTTGCTCCTCCACTTTGTCCCTAGAATTACAGCCCAGCTGTAGGTGGGACTGTCAAGCTCTGCCCGATGTCTCCCATGAGAAATCAGATTCAGGCCCTTGTGCCTGAAGACTCCTTGTGAAGACTCCAGATGACACCTTCTCCAAGTGCAGCTAAGGAGTCACCTTGGGCTCCTCAGGCTGAGTATACATTTTCTGTACGGAACTTCAGAAAGAAACGGTCAACGTTAATTCCTCACTTTGCCAGAGAAAGAAGAAAATGTCACATGCCTTTGATTCCCTCTTTTTACCATGACTCCACTGAGACAAAACTCCTAACACAGAAACCAACACGTATTCTCGATATTGGGTACCTGCTGGAGGTCCTGCCTTAGCCCCGAAGCCTCAGGTTTCCATGGGGACAGGTTGGTTGAGAACTGGCTCAGCTCTCAGCCTGACACCCAACAGTATCCCGACCCAGGGGGTAGATGGTAGTGCAGGCACAGGTTCTGCAGGCTTTCATCTTGTGGAAAGTATGTTAGAGGGTGTCCTTGTCACTCGCCATGACCCAGAGGAATCAGCAGGGACATCAGGATTGAGAGAAGACATGGCACATCTGACCTCCTGTCCTGGAAACCCTACATCTTTCTGAATCTGCCCATCACATGGACAACATCTAGGAAAGTTCCGCTCTGCACAGTGTTCTGTCTACCAGGTCCACCCATCTGAGGACCCAGATGCTAGAACACACAGATACTGAAGGAGCAACCACCTGCCTAGGTGCAGGTACCCCTGCATCCATCTGTGGGAGGAGGAGCCAGAAACCACCATTTATAAGGATTCTTTGACGCTAAAGAATGAACCAACTATTTAGGAGTAACACAGTGATGCAGAATGATCCACCCTGGTCATTCTGTAGAATACACGTAGAATCCCAGTATACACACCCATTAAAGTCTCAGTATTCTTGCTTCATACAAACATCTGCTTACAGATTCTGAACACACACACAAACCCCAGTGGTGTGTTGCTAACTGCTTAATAAAATGCTCTCCAGGGGGAAGTAGGAAAGGCTAGATTTCTGATGCTTATGTGGTGTAAATATCTCAGCATGACTAATTTTAAACTACCAACCTAATGCCACTGAACAGAGAGCAGAGAAGAGATGTGCCGTGCCCAGTGGCTACCCCAAGCTAGCACAAGCCAGCTCCAGCACAGCCACATCCTTTCATAGGAATACATGTACACAATGTACCTGCACCCTGAGTAGGACCCTCAACTCTCACCCCAAATATACAAACAAAACCAAACTAGGTACCTCCAGAACACAACCTCCTCCTGTATCCTGAACAGACATACATGACTGAGACAGGATAGGGTGGTCATAGCCTCCATTAAAGGAGAACAAACTTGCTAAACAGATGAAGAGAACAAACCATCCAGCAGTGCCCAAGGAGGTCCTGCAGTAAGGAGGTGGTAAAGAAGAAGGGAAAATCTTCAAATTCACGCAAGTGCGAAAACCCATGATTAGTGTCCCTGGGTTGACCAATGCTCATGATAACAGTGAAAAACACACCCTTGGGTAGAGATTTAAGATGTTAAAGATTCACGTGATATAGGCACTAGCATGTGCAGCAACAGCGCATGCGCGTCCAGAGAACCACGCAGAGCGTGCTTAACAGTGAGTGATATAGGCACTAGCATGTGCAGCAACAGCGCATGCGCATCCAGAGAACCACGCAGAGCATGCTTAACAGTGACACCCCTTCCCACCCCTTCATGAACAGTCATGGAAGGCTCCCATAAAGGAGCTTTCCCCAGTGTCAGTCAGTGCTGTCTCACCTTTGAGCCGCCCACTCTGATCGACTGTTAGAGCGTACATTCGCTTTGCAATAACCTCTCTTGCTTACTTTTACGTTAGACTTGCTCTCAAAGTAAGACTTCTTCTGTACAGCAAAGTCAAGAACCTGAAGCAGCCCACCAGCAACACAACTGCTCCCTGTACCCTAAATACACAGATGGACTGCCCAATTACTACTTAAATTTGTAGACAAAACTCTACCTGCCCCAAATGCTCACATCACTGCTAAAACCATATATGTACATATATATGTGCCCAAGTACAAACAGGAACAATGAACACAGTACCCATATATACTATGAACCCTGAAAGGACTAATCCTTCAAGATGGATCAGGAGTAGCTAACTGGGCCTAAACTCAAAATGGAGCCAAGCGGCAATCTGCTGACTGCAGGTCTCACACATGTACCCTGCTTCCTGCAAAAACCACGTACTTGTGTCACCTTGGGACTTTCACAGCTGTCTGTTCCTGTCTATGCCACCTAAATCAAGGGGTACCATTTTGTCATATGGACTTAAGAAATAGATTGTGACTTGCATCAGCCAATCAGAAATAAACAAGCTTGTATCCCTCATTTGCAGAGTGAACCAGATTGGGAATCTGACAACGAAATTTCTCTATAAAAGATAACACCTCTCTTTGTTCTTTCAGAGTGTACCTTTGTTTTGCACTGAAGGCTGGGACTCCTTGATGTGCAAACAGCTTACTGGAATCAAATTTCTAATTTTTTTCTTTTGTTGTTTTTTTTTCTAAGAAAATCCTTTTCGGTAGATTTGTTAACTGTACATAATGAAAATCCTATAGGCACAGGCGCTAAAAAAAATCACAAGGTATACAACACCTGTGTCATGCATCACCCAGAAAAAGAATCACATACAATCCCACAGCTCTAAACTATAAGAATCCATGATTCTTGAATGCAAACACAACCTACACAGCCTCTCTGTTTCCAAATACATGCACTGAACCTCCCACATCTCCCAGAATACAAAATACAGAAGCCACATAAACTGAAATACACACAGAACAACAATTTTTATCAAGTACATATACGTCCACCTCACAAACACTGAGAACACACATACGAGTGGCAACACCAAGTTCTGCGAGTATTACATTTCACGACAGGCACAGAGGACCACTAAGTCTTAATATACCCAAAACCCCTCATATACACACTCACAAACTACCCATGAATACACACCCCACCCTCCCAGACCCAGATAAAACCCGTTAAAAAAAAAAACAAACAAACATAAAAACATCAATACTACTCTAATACACACACACAATTTTCATATACCCATGAGCACATACACACTCACACAAATATCCCTAATCCCTGAATGTATAAATTCCCCGAAACACTATCCAATCAATATCCTACATGTCCAGAATACAACCTCCTCACCCCATTCCCCAAACATGCCCAAACACATGTACAAACACCCTAGCATTCTCCAAAGAAATACACTTTAAATACTAACAATCTCATATTTTATAAATAGACTTAGATAATTCATCTATCTGCTGATAAATATACATACAAACCAGAATACACACTCAAGATGCGTGGAAATATCTCCAGCATATCATTTATAAATACCCATAAAAACACTCTCCAATCCCAAATTATCCCAATCTTGTATGAACCAGCTCCCACATTGCCAAATACTAACCAATAACCACATCACACACCTCTAATACATATAAATCCAACTCTCTTACTTTCCTGTATAAAAAGAGAACCCCATCTCTCTGTCAGACACACACATACTAAATTCCCAGAATATATAACTCTAATAACCACTTACTGAAAAATACAAGCACATAGCTCCACAAAACATTCATCCAAACTGCCATGCCCTTGAACACACACACACGCAAACGCAATACTCATGTAGTTCTCTACATGCCCTAAATATACCCACAATTAACTAATACACCACAAATATACAAACGTGCCACCTCATATCCCCAAATACACATACAGTCCCACAATACCTGAACATATGTAATCACACTTCCAAATGCTCACACAGAAATAACTCCTCCATCTTCCAAGACACAGAATCATACAAACTCCACCTCACAACTGCACACATTCACCCTACCAGTCCCCCAATAGACATGGATCTGCCCTCACACATTGAAACAGCCATACACACCCCCTGAAAATCACGAAAAGAAACACACATCACCATGCAACATGTCCTGAGTACTCAAATGGTCTTCCTACATTCCCCAAACATGTAAACCAAACACAGTGTACATCCACAAAAATAGAGACAAGCACTTTCTCTATTATTGCCCACGTGCACAAGGTAATTCTTCCAAATCTGCCCAACATTAGACAAATACAAATCCCCAACATTCATCTGGGAAAACACATGGAAAAGACATCTTCACAACCCAAATTCCAAATATCTAACCCCAATTCTTCTGGTATACATATCTTACATCTCATATCCTCTAAATATAAACTCTCTCTCCTACATACTTTCACAAAAACAGTTATGATCTTCTTTTTTGGGGGGCGGGGAATGTAGTCTCACTCTGTCACCCAGGCTGGAGTGCAGTGGCACGATCGGGGCTCACTGCAACCTCCGCCTCTTGGGTTCAAGTGATTCTTCTGCCTCAGCCTCCCGAGTAGCTGGGATTACAGGCATGCACCACCACACACAGCTAATTTTTGTATTTTTAGTAGAGAGGGGATTTCACCATGTTGGCCAGGCTGGTCTCGAACTCCTGACCTCAGGTGATCTGTCCACCTCCACCTTCCAAAGTGTTGGGATTACAGGCGTGAGCCACCGCGCCTGGACCAGTTATGACCTTTAATCTGCAATCTCCACACAGACACCACCAACCCACACATGTGAATACATATCAGATTCTCACCAATTAAATACATATCAAATTCCAAACTGAAAATTCATATAAACACATTTTCACATACACAAAACCACCCCACAAATCTCACACCCTCCAAAATCCAAAACAAAACTTCCTGACATTCTCAAGTATACACTAACCCAACCACCCAACATACACACGTGTGTGCAGTAAATTTTAGACACGTGTAGCCTACAATTTACAAATAATATACCACTACTTTTTATTTGTAAATTCCACATAAGCAATTCTCATAGAAGCTTTTCTTGACTTTGGCCATACTCTTGCATCCACAACCAACTGTGCTACCAAGTGAACAGACCATGACTAAAGGTCTGTTCTTCGACTTTGCAGCTGCTCATATCATTGACAAATGGAACATGCATGCTGGCTGATCATTCTGATTAAGTCAATGAGCTTCACAACTCACTCAATGAGGTTGTCCGTGAGAACTTCACTCATTTTACGAGGACACGAGCTACTTCTCTGCTGAACTGCATCACGGTTTCAACTGCTGAGGTTTTCCTTAAGCTTTTGTATTGCCTGGAATGTGAGAGGCATGGCGGAGTCACACTTTGGGGTTCCCGCTGCCTTGTTAAACCTCCCACCTCACTTTGGGGCCAGGTGAGCAAGGGAAACGAGTGCTGCCTGGGCGTCCCGCAGGGCCCCCAGGAGGAACGCTATGAACTCTCCCGCCTTGAGCGCAGCCACAGGCTTGCTCTGGCCACAATGTGGGGTCGCCCCGCGGACACTGGTGACCAGCGGGAACATGACCAGGAGGCGATTACCTTCTAATCACACTTGGCTTTAGTTTTAGGTAACACCAAGGAGGACGCCATGAAAGCGAAGGCCGTTGGGTAACCGCCCTTTGCCCTCGCGCTACGCGATACGCGTCTCCCCGCCCAGAACCGCCGGCAACCCCCGCTGGGAGCGGTTGACGGCCACTGGCCGCACGCGGGAACCCCGCCCGCCGGAACCCCGCCCGCCTCAAGGCTCGTGCGCAGGCGCACGGGGCAGGCCTAGAGCCCGCCCTGGGAGGGCCCGGCAGGAGATGGGGAAATGGAGGGACTTGGCGCCTGGAAACTTCCTGGGGCCGGACGAGGCCTCCTCTTTGGAACCTCCGTGACCGTGCCTCTGAGAAACCAGCGCGTCGGAAACGACCACTCCTAATTTTCCGTAATACAAAGCTGCAGTCAGTGCACTTAGGTAACACCCTTGCTGAAAGGTTTACCTTTGGAGGGTTTATTCTAAAGCAAAGTATCCTCGAATTGCATGTCTTGCATTGCGTTTGGACTGCATTTATTTCATTCCTGCTAATGCCTTTCAAAAAATAATATGCCCTGTTTTCCTACTCAGTCTGGAGGTTCCATTAAAGAACATTTCTGGCAAAGAATTTTAGACCGGAAAACACGCTCCGAAAGATACTTTCTTCTGACTCAGTTCCCAGAGTTTTTCCTATTGTATTCAAATGATTTCTAGAAATATTTTTGTTATAGCTTTGATCAATTTCTGTCCACAAAGCAGCAGATAGTAGGGGAACAATTCCACACTCCCCCACCCCCGACTCTGCAACACAGTGCAGAATTCCAGTTGGCAATAAAAACTAGTAGAGAAGCAACTCACTGACTTGAGTTTGTAATAGCTTCAGAAGAACTTTAATCATCACATCCTTTCTGCTCATTTGCAGGATTCCTATCGTCTGTCTCCACGTGATAACACTAAAGAGCCTTTACATCTATACCGGCCCAGGGCCTCAAGTGCAGAGACTGAGAGCTCTGCAGGACACAGCGTGGAGCTGCCATTCCTCTACCGTTCCGTGATCGAGTGGAAGAGCATGTGTACTCTGAACAGGGGATCCAAACCCTGAGATGTTCTTTCCCAGCAGTCAGTGCGGCACAGGACTTTCTGTGGGAATGCTAAGAGAGCAGGGGCCAGAGGGCTTTTAGCCATCACCTCCCATGGCCAGTCTTCACAAATTACCTTTGGCTAATTTGATGATCTCTCCTCTTGGGGTCTAGGACTTCAAACATGTGCAGAAGCAATTGCAGAATTGAGGCAAGACATTGTTCCACAGTATATTTTTTGTATCACTGGCTCAGAAAAAGACTCATTGAAATCCTGTATCAAAGCCGTGTGTGAACATCTTGAGAAAGCATCGGTTCACTGACTTGACAAGGGAGGAGGCAACCAAGAATTCTGCCCTTTTTCAGTGCCTGAGTGTGATATTTTGCCTCAACATCCCTCTTAGATGAAATTGTTGATTGAAAATCATTTAAGTTTTTGCCCCATGATAAAAGATCAGGTCCTCAGAAAGAGCTCCAAAGCATTTACTGTTTGTTTGGTTTTGTTTTGTTTTGGTAAGTTTACCATGATTTTGCTTGAATTGCTGTCTGTTGATCTTCTCAGCTAAGATGGAGGTAGAGTTGCACAGTGGAAGAGGACTGCATATAAGGAGGCAGCTCTGTCTCAGAGGACAAAAGGCCTGGGAGCACCCAGACAGGCAGTCACTCCCCTCCCAGTGGCCACTGTGGAGGTATTTCATAGAAATGCTTGCTGGACCATTCAGGTTTAGAGTTGGGACAAAACTGAGAACTCTTGAGAATATTGGACAGGAGTTAGGAAATGACCTTCTCATGCAGCTGGGGCAAGGAGGGGAGAACCTTGGGATTGAAACTTGCAGTCCACCGCCTGCCCCTGCAGTGTGGCCCCTGTTACATTTTCCTGCAACTCTGCCTTCTTGAGTGCAAATGTCTCCGAAAGGGGCAAATGCTTTGTAAGTGCCAACAGGGTGTGTTTCAGCGAATGTTCACAGTGTGCACCGATCCAGCTGAAGGCCTCTTCCCTTCCCCATCACCCTCCCATCAGTGCAAAATTACCCTGCCCAGCAGGGAGTGAGGTGTGTGTCTCAGAAGATTTTGTTGCTGTGCTCTTGAGTACTCACTCCTCATCTCCTTTGACCAGTTTCCTAACACTCCCCTTGTTCACAACACAGAACATGAGTGTTCTTTCCTGTCATTGTGATGCTGATAAGCAGACAGTGATTTCAGTGTGAAAATGAGAATGAAGTTTTTTTTTTTAAAGACAGGCTACAATAATTCCCACGCAGAGAGCCACATACGATGACACTGGATTCCAAACAGCAAGAATGTATGGAGAAGATGAGACCAACAGTGAGCTGAGAGAGGCCAGCCAGGATTCACATATGCGAGGGGATGCATGGGAATGGGGATGGGACGTTGGTGGATAGCATCCTGGCTTGTCTCAGAATGGACATGGGTTGTGGATTTCTAACTCCTGGAGAAACCAGAGTTCTAGGAATTGTAAGCTGCTTTATGTTAGGAAAGCAAAGATGGTGTTCTGCCCTTCTGTCCCTTACAACTGTGCATACTGCCACTAAACCTGGAAGCTGAGAAGGGTATAATGGCTACTCCTGACTTCTCATCAAATCAGCCTGCTATTGTTTTCTGCAATGGTTGTGTTTTGTGGTGAAGCCAAGATTCACACCTGAGTCTCCTTACTGCAAGTTCTCACTCTCACAGTGGAGGGTTAACAATAATCACTTCATATGTTGCACTTTTTTGGAAAGAGTTACCAGATAAAGTGCAAGATCCCGGTGAAATGTGAATAACAGATAAAGGAAAAACAGATTTTTTGTAAAAGTGTACTCTAAATATCACATGGATCACAATTATAATAAAAACTAATTCACTGTTTTATCTTGAATTCAAATTCCACTTGGTATTTGTTATTCATACTTGCTAAATCCTGCCACTGTATTCTTTTGCATAGTTGTGATTTTAAGGAACAATACAATGTCTTATTCTAGGATTTACCTACAGAAATAGAGAAGCCACATTACTAGGATAAACACAGTCACTGTAAATATCAGGAAAGCATTGGAACATATTAATATAGTAATTTTTACCCCCCAAAACCTGAAAGCATTTTTAGACAGCAAAAATAGCTTCATTATGCTTATGATTGCATAATATATCTCTGGAAAAATGAAAAACAATCAGATAACACCTGTTTCCTCCAGGAACGCAAATGTGGTGGCCAGGGAAAAAAGATGGGAGGAAGGCTGGTCATTGCCTATTCCAGTGTGCACAGTTTGAATTTGGAACCATGCAAAAGTATTGCTTGGTTAAATTAAAACCATTCAAAAGATAAAAAATAAACATTTAACACCATCACAATATGCTGGGAAACAAAATGAATGGATTTCTGGTCTCAGTACTGTAGGTCGCATAGCCACTCTTTCCTGGACTGAGGCTTCCCAGGAAAGGGGATGGGAAGTAAGGCTGGCCTGCTGGTATGGACAGAGATTCCAGCAACATACATGACCCGGGGGCACAAGGATTGCTTCCTAAACAATGATGAGCACACAGCCAACTAATAGCCTGGATGGGCTGAGACCATCCTGATTTCAAACACCCAGTCCCCTTGCCTTCCTGAGAACTTCTGTGTTTCTCAGACTGAAAACGTGTTCTGAATTTTGTTCAGGAAGTGCGGCCCCTGTTGAAATTCATCAAGAGTGGGAAAGAGCCAAAGGGGGAAGGAGCATGGGTTGCTTGGCACAAAAGTAGGTCTGTTCATAAAGAATGGAAGTAAAGGGGACATCAGGTAGAAGGTTTTGCTGTGAGTCAGGACAATTTAAAAGTTGCCTAAAGAGGTGCACGCCATCTGTGTTGCTGCCGTCCAGTTGGAAGGGAAACTCAGGTTCTTGCCTAGTGGCTGGAGCCCTTCGCAGAATGTCCCCCACCCCTACCAGCTGCCCACTGCCCCTCCCCCTCTGCAGAATGTCTGGGGTCCTATGTTCTAAACCTATTTACATTCAAATTTTCCCCGCTCCACTTGGACTCAGGAGCATCTGCTGAGCCAGGTCACTCTCTGTGTCCTACCCTTAACTTTTCTCATTGCGGAAACTGCCAGACAGCGGTGGGCAGTGCCCAGCCTGAGGGGATGGCTTCAAATGGAGGTGAGACTGTAGGGACGGGGGCATTATCCGAGTCTGCCATGCCTCAACTCCTTGGGAATTCAAATTTGAACTGCCCCTGGGGACAGCTGATAGGGCTGATGTTGAAGAGGGAGGGAGCACTGGATGTCCCCAAGGACATCACACCTGGGGATGGCCATGGCACCCTGAGTCTGTGGTTAGGGAGGATGGCTCCTTAGAGGTGGATCAAGATGCCTGGGGGAATACACCGTGTAGAGGAAAGGATGGAGTGGATGGATTGATCCTTTCTAGAGGGGGACAGGTCACGTCATTGTGTGTTTGTAGGGAGTGGTGGGATCGTGTTGTGCTGGTGGCCCAGGGAGAATGACGGGCAAGCCTGAGCCCTGTGCCATGTCTTCAGCCACCTGGAAGGTGCCCTTCCATAGTGTTCAGAGGGATTTGGGCTGGAGTTTTCTAGATCTTAGGGAGGAGTGGGGAGAAGTGGTCTCAGCCAGAAAACTGTTGGGTGGGTTGGTTGTGACAGAGCATGTAATGACAACCTCTGGGTGGGCGAGGCTGGGGGCTACTGTAACTGCCACAGCCCAGAGCCTCTCAGCTCCCGCCCCAGAGCTGGCTGCTCCATCAGTTGAGGTAGCTGTTGGCTTTGATCCAACAGGGGTGGGGACAAATGGGGAAGTTCAGGTAACACATGGCCTGGACTTCCTGAGATGTTCTGAATTGTTCGCCCTTTTGTGGAAGCTCAGGTCTTCAGACCCACTTCCTCTTGTCTACTAGCTCATGGCCTGTCCTCTGCACTTTGTGTTACTGTGGAGATGAAGAATTTGCTCCTATTCCATTTATACTACCTCATGAAATGGGGACAGGTGTGGATTCTTGCTGGTTCTCAGTGGATGGGTCTGGAAAGGCTGGTTTCCTTTTCAGTAGAGGAAGGAGAATAGTGCACAAATAGGAAGATGGTTCTTTTATTATTATTATTATTAAAGTTAGGATATGTGTCCTGAATGATGAGGTGCATGTGCTGTATCCCTTATTCCCCCTGACTAGAGACTGCATGAGGTCGTAGTGAACAGGGATGAGTTCCAGACAACTTTGCCTTACCTGGCCTGTGGCCCAGGAACCCCTGGTTCTTGGTTGGTCACTATGTTCAGTTATTGGGAGCTCAAAGGAGAAGGATCAGAGACGCTCCTTGTCCCACTACCTGTTGTAACATGACCAGCAGCTGTGAAAATCCCTGGGCACCTCCCCTGATAGCCCTGCTGCTCACCAGTTGCTGGCTGAGTTCTAATCGTGTGCAGCTGTTGCTGGCTGTGCGGTGACAGTATCTCAGGGGACTCCACCACTGCCTCTCAGACCTGCTCCCTGGGAACAGAGCTTCCTGAGTGGCAGCTGGGACCACTGAGCACTGAGCAATGGGTGGCCCGAATCTGACCCCCATTTAGCACTTGCTGTGGGGACAGGACAGCAAGTGCCAGGTCCTGTGTCAGGACACTGTGCCACAAGTGTCCTGTACCAGGACAATCACTTGCATGCTGGACGTGATGAGTTATGGATTATCTTCAGGGTTCTTAGGGTGCTGGCTTGGGAAAGATTTCCATCCAGTGGTTTTCTTTTGTTGTGTTTGAGCTAGGAAAGAAAGGGGTTTACAAGAGCTTCGGGAAAAGGAAGATTGAAGAGAAGATGTGGCCATAATATTCGGAAGCTTCTGGCTTCCTGCCGGCCTTCTCAGTGCTGAGCACTGCCCTGGGGTAGGCCCCTCCCCTGTTGCTGAGCATGCTAAGGACCACCAAGCCGCTGAGACTCATCCCTGACCCATGGCTTGGGAGATGCCTGTGAGGCTGATGGGGTCTGCCAGGGACACCTGAGGGAGACCCTCGGGCAGCGAAGGCTTGGCTGTTGCTTCTTGGGAGACAGGGGCCAGGGAGTCTTGGTGATCGGGGCCAGGCTCTCTAGTGGAGTAACTCCCGTGGAGGAACAGAGCATCCAATGCACACTCGGGGACACTTGCAAGTGGCAGAGTTTCCCTGTCACACGCCCTCAGCTGTTGGGGCTCCCCTCTGATTCTCCCGTGACTAGTGAGGACCAGGAGACCCCAGCTCATTCATCTCTTTCTTTTGTCTCCACAGCATACCCAGTGCTGGGACCGGGCGTGACCGTGAACCCTGGCACCTCCCTGTCTGTGTTCACGGCTCTGCCCTTTACCACACCTGCTCCCGGCCCAGCACACGGGCCACCCCTCGTGACTGCAGCGGTTCCTCCCGGCGGCCCTCTGGTGCTGTCTGCCTTCCCCAGCACACCTCTGGTGGCAGGACAGGATGGCCATGGCCCGAGTGGGGCTGGGGCTTCTAATGTCTTTGTCCAGATGAGGACAGAAATGGGGTCTGTGAAGGCCCCTCAGGCACAGACCTTGGTCCTAACTCAGAACCCCCTTGTCTGGCAGGCTCCAAGCGCCCTCTGTGGAGGTGTCGTGTGTCCACCTCCCCTACTCCTGGCAGCTGCTCCTGTGGTGCCTGTTATGGCTGCCCAGCTGGTTGGGGGCACCCAGGCCTGTGAGGGAGGCTGGTCCCAGGGCCTTCCTGTTCCACCACCACCACCACCGGCTGCCCAGATGCCCCCCATCGTGTCCCACGCTGGGCCATGGCCACAAGGGGCTCATGGAGAGGGCAGCCTGGCTCCCTCCCAGACCAAGGCCCCACCAGACGACTCCTGTAATCCCAAGAGTGTCTATGAGAACTTCCGACTCTGGCAGCGCTACAAGCCCCTGGCCCGGAGGCACCTTCCCCAGAGTCCTGACACTGAAGCGCTTTCCTGCTTCCTCATGTGAGTGTCCTCGGGGCACCAGAGCTTGTCCTGCAGCTCACACGTAAAGAGGCTGCTGAATGGACAGGAGGTCACGCTGTTCAGGGGAGCTTGCTGGGCGGTTGTGAGGGTGATGGATTGCACTATGGGAAGGTACATTTTCAACAACATTAAATCTGGCTGTGGCTCAGGACAGACTGTCAGGGGCCTCAACTGCCCGTCACTGTCCCGTGAGTCCAGCCAATCCTTACTTTCAGTAATTTTCACAACAATGTTTACAGAAGACCTAGGTCAGAGACGGTTCCTGGTGTGACGTGAACGATGGTTTGGGTTTAGGTCTTTGAGTACACACTCCAGTGCCTCTCCCTGAACCCAGTGTTGATGGCCAGGAGCACATCACATGGGGCTGGGGGGAGGAGCTGCAGGGCCCGGCGGGAACCTGGCACATGCCCGCAGTTCTGCCCAGGTCCAGCACCGTGGGGGTGGAGCCTGCACAAGGGGATGGGCTTGGGCCCCGCACCAGGGTTGATGCTGGGCAGGTATTTGCATCTTCACCCTCAATCCCTCCTAGAAAAAGGGACAATGATGCTTCATTCAGAGGATGGCGAAGAGATGACTTGAGCTCACATATGACATGTATAACACAGTGTCTGGCACATGCTATGACATATTACATGATAGCAATTATGATTACTGTCCCCTTTACTATCATTATCAGGACTAGGCCATCTAGGAGAGTGCTCCCCAAAGCCATAGGCTCCAGTGATAGCTCTGAGTGCACCACGAGCCCAGCAGCCCAGGGCCGTGGACTGTGGTGACTGTGAGGCAGCAACGTCAGCATCCGGGAGAGTTTGTGGTTTCATTCCCAGTCCCTGCCTCTCTCCACCCTGTGGCGCCTCTGTCACCCTGTGTTTCCCACTGATGAGCAAACGGGAGCTTGAGCACATCCACCGTGCAACACACTAACCGTTCCCCTAGGGAAGTCCCCTGCCTGGGGTGTAGGTGGAAGG